CTAGTTGATGTCCTACTTGAAACATATTCTTATCTATTAAGTATCTAATCAAAAGTTAATGTTGATGATATGAAAAACAGGTAAGATTTAAGTTAAGATGTCACTAAGTATCAGCATGTAAAACTCACCCTGATTGTGTTAAAGTGCTTAATACGAGAGTCTTTCTTGGGGCGATAGTTAGGTCGCACGTGAATGCCGTAGTAGAGCTGCCTAAAGCTTTCCTTCCAAGGGTTGTCCGCATCGCACTCGTCGGGTGCTACGAACTCAAACTGACACGGCGCGGGGTGCATGAGTGGCATGTCGTATTCAAACACCGACTGGTATAAACTTTTCCTGTTGATTGAATATTTCGATTATAGTTCGCTTCTTATTCTTTTAAAATTGAGTTTCAATTTTTTTATTTTTTCTTAAAAACCCTGTCTTGAATGAGAACAATTATCAACAATCAATAATGAGACTATTCGAAGGAGACATCACATTGAATGATACTTTGTTTACATACACGTCCTAATTCATGAATGTTTCAGAACACAATTTATGTTGCCAAATATTCACAATTTAAAACAACTTTCTAAATAACTTTCATATGTATGACTGTGATGTTAAAAAAATGTTACCATAGTTCAGTATCATTGGCGATCGTGTTGAACCGCTTGCAGACTTGAGCGACACGACATAGGTCCCGCTCTGTGAGGTGTGAGAGAATGCACAGCAACACTTCATCCGGCAACTCATATTGCAAGTACTGTGATACATTGCATACATCCACTCCTTGAGATAGAGATCTGTGAGAAAGATACACATTGTTTTAATAAAGATAGGAGCCATTAAGGTAAATCACACAATTTTCTCAAATATGTAGGATCTGGGAGTAGTTGGATGTGAAGACTGGGTTATTGAGCTCAATAGTGCACTATCGGAGAAGATAATGTCCATCAAGAGACTGAAGAGAGATCAGATAATGATGATGAATAAAAACTTATTTCACTTACGTTCTCGGCCTCTTCCTAGCGGGTAGAGAGCAAGTGCCCGAGGGTCCGGGCTCGTGGTAGGCTGGCGGCGACTTGCGGCGCAGGTCGTAAGGACTGTGGTGGCCCGGGGTGCTGGCTGCAGCGGCCGCGGGCACGGGCGGGGCGCCACCACCTCCGCTGCCGCTCGCACCCGCGCATGCCGCCGTCGCCGCCATCGCGCTGCCCGTCACGTTGTTGGGGCAAGGGACTGATTCACATGGCTCACCTGCAAATATAGTTAAGTTTATTTGAATTATAAAGTCAATAGAGTGTGGTGTTGTTCTACTTCGAATCCAATAAAACATCAATGAATCTCTGTGACTCATACTATTCACACATGTAAAATTGTTGAATCTCATTAATACTAATAAATCTGCATTAAAATCACATAGCTAACATTAAAGTTGCAAAATAAAGTTAACTACAATAAAACATAAAGCACCTCATGTGCAAATCCATTACAAAGACTAATTTGCCAATTTATTTCCTTCCTTTACAAAGTGTGGGATTTGAGACATTTATATCTTATCTAGAATTTCAAGTGGTCATGGTATAACAGAGGCACATACAGTTTGTTTACAAACAAAACACTTATCAGTTTTATGGGACTGATAACCCATTGGAAAATACCAACATTACTGTTTTATTGATAAACATTGGCCAGACAATTACCTAATTACTGATAAAGTTTGGCCTGAAACTAGATACACAATCAATTAATTAAATACAAATATTTTAATATTGTACTTAATCTAATGGGAACAATGCTCCAACATCTTTCTAATAATTCCCATATGACTCGACACAAAATGTTCAGAGGGCTCAGTACGAGTTTGTTTTATGTTTAAACTAATGGAAACGAGACAGCATGAGTGTCGTGATCGGTTGGTTCATTGGAGCCGACCAATCACTGCGCCGAATGCCGTCTCTTTTCGATAACTTTACACATATAACAAACTCCTACTGGTTGTTTAAAAAGAGATTTAAATCAGGCACTAGAACTACTTTGTTAAAGCAATATTAGAAAGTAGTTTAAGCGGTTTGATGTTCTGCCAAATCTTTTGACCTATTTTAGATTTGAATGTAATTGGTTTGCAAAATTGCCATCTTCAAAACATTATATTTAGTTTTTATTTTTATGTTTGGTAGCTAGGGAGTATTGGCTAATATTGTGTTATGATGAATGAGTCACTACTATGAATGAATGGTTTGATGAATGTAGTACCTACTACTAGTCAAGCTGAAACAAACAATTTATTACATTGAATTTCAGTTGTGACTAATATTCGATTATTTCATGTTTATTGCAGTTTTTAAGAACTGAATGAGTATTCACAATATTCTTAGATGTCACCTTCAAGTTCATAATTTTGCATTTGTCAAAAACTTGTTAGGGTTAATAACACACAAACATAACATAACATCACGCCTTTTATCCCCGAAGGGGTGTGCAGAGGTGCACATCATGCCACTGTTCAATGTAACACCCACTTTTCACTATTTATGTTATGAGTCCCATGTAATAGGGGGTGAGCCTATTGCCATATACCGGGCACATTTGTAGACTCCATGCTACTACTGAGATTTTTTTAAAAACCCTAATACTTGCCGGACCCGGGAATCGAACCCGAGACCCCTTGCCCAGCAGTCGCACTTGTGACCACTCGGCAAACAGGGCAGTCAGAGTCAGGCAGACCTTTATCTTATTGGCATCTTTACATTTGTTATCATATTTTATTCAACTTTAATAATATCGTAACAATATAAGTTTGTTCATTCAAAACTGGTATGCATTGACAAAATGACAAGGTTGGAGTTATTATGCAAAAATATCAGTAACACACAATTTTGTACTTCCTTATATCTGTATGTCCTTCATAATTAGCAGTTTCCAAATATTTATTTTTATACAACTACAATATTTATGACTTAACTAATAATAAAACAATAAATCTAATGAGAACAAAGGTATATGGAAATCATTTGACATAACCATTATAAATAACATAAGGTTGATAAGTTAGGTTTTCCTTCAAAAGAAAAAAAGTAAGAACTGGTTTTAGACAGGCAGGTAGTTATTTTATTAAATCCAATACTTTAAAGTTGTTTACACACCATGGTAGTAGAAAATCTTTACATATTCAACATTCTACATTACCCTACAACATTATGTTAAACTAATCTAAAATCATAATCAATTTGCATATAAATACATAAAGTTAGGTTTCCAGTGTTCATTGCAAAGTGTCCTTTCTAGATTTTGACAGGATTCAATGTCATGCAAATACATAGTTCATATAGTTATGGCATAAAAATGGAAGGCAAAAAATAAACAAGTACTTCTACACTCAATGTGTGTGAACTGAAACGAAAAGAAGTTTCGTAACTGCACACAAACACATCTGTTCTTCGATTCTGTAGCAGAACAGCTGTTTCGTCATTCTCAGTAAAATAAGTTTTCATCTAGCAAATCAATACCCATATTGCGCAAAATGTCACTGAAATGCGCTATCCGATATCATCATGTAACTTTGAACATAGTGAAATAAGAATTTACATGTCAATCAATGTTCGAGGAACAATGATCGACCAATTCAAAATTCAATACAAAGCTTCAACATTTTCACACAAAATGGGAATGTCAAATCTTTAACACAGCAGTATAAATTAGCCATTATTAAACAACTAACATCTTTATAATACATTTACGTGACACTCGAAGTTACATGATCAAGGAAATATGAATAACGAAGCATTTCTAAAGATCGGGGCGACTTCGGCCGACCCGGATTACTTACTCGATTGTGTCCTAGAAGGTAGGGGTATCCGATGTCCGCCTTTTCTCCGCGATCTACGTACGTAAGAACGCGAGGAGGAAAACGAGGCACTAGGCATTATTTCTTTTAACACTTATTTTCACTAGAATTCAGCCCTAAACAAAGGAGACACCCGCACCAACACCGTCGGCCATTTTCTGTTTAGATTAGATTGGGCAGACAAAACGGGAAACAGAGATTAAACCACATTAGTTATTGCTAGACGAGAGTTCTATTATTATATTAATACGACACTAATCACTGACACTAAAATTATGATATTAAACTGATAATATTCATTATTATCTGAATAAATTATGATGAAAATCCACACTACCCTCAAGCGATGGGCGACTCTCAGCAAAATATGGCGGATTTCGGATTAACATGGCGACCGATCGCAGCGCCATCTACGAAATAACAAGTTGTTTTTTTCTTATTGTTGCGTTCAAATTGTTAACGATTTTAGAAATATAACAGCGCATTTTACAATGATAATTTTCAGTTCTTATAATTTAGTTCTCATTTATCCTACCTACTGTTAAATACTGACCACTAAGTTCCATTCTAATTTTACGTTTATCGATAGTTAATTTATTAATATTACATCAATATAGGAAGGAACTTTTGCACTCCATGGCATATATAATGTAATCTATTGATACAATTAATACATTTTGTGCTGCTCTGCTCCGGCGCTTTTAGTTTATTTCGAATTTACACATATTTTATAGGCTCTGCAAGTTATAAAATAAATCACTCTTTATTTATATTTATTGTAAATAGAATGGCGTAATTAGGTATTGTTCCTTTCACTCTATAATTTAAGTATAATTTTAAATTACACGTTACGTTGTTTAACTAAAGTTAATTTAAGGGTTATTGAGTTAGATGTCTGATGTGAGTCTCTTTGCTCTGAGTCAGGCAAAAGGGCAAGTGACTTTATTTCTTAATTATAACTAATTATTATAAGTATTTGGGAGTTTTGAAAACTACTGTAGAAAAGTAAATAAATCCAAATGTGAGACGAATGCTAGAGACAACGTTATTTTTCTATCGAAATCAACAACAACGCCCAGAACTCGTATATCGTTCCCATTGCCACAACTAAACGTAAAGGTTTTTGTTACTGGATGACACTGACATTTTACTAAATTAAGAGAGTGGTCTGTCAATAGTGTCAATGTCAAATTGTTTGTCGCCTTGTTGAATACGTCTCTCTGACTGTTTTGGTACAATATCTCACAATATTTTATGTAATTTGTACTACTGAACATTATTTTATAAAATTAAAAATGATTCTCACAGATTGGCTTGTTATAAATCAGTGTAGTTGGTCGGTTTTGGCATGTGTTTTTCTAACGTTTTGCTTTGTCGGGAGTTTGTATGTATGGAGAACTAAATTGAGCAGGTACATGATAATTTTTTTATTTGATTTATATTTAACAAAATAATATCCTAACAATTTTCATTTTTCCTTTTGTTCAGAGACCATCCAACTACAATAAAAAGAAGATTCTTCAGCGTATCCGTTATAATGTTAATAACTCCATTTTTCATTCAATATTTTTTCACTGAAGAATCTTTAAAGAAGGGCGACTTGTACATGCAGTTAGGATTACGATGGTCTGGTCTTATACCAGCTATAATTGCGCCACTGTTCTTGACTGCCACATTGTTTTTGGGACCATTAACCATGCAGTTTTTATCAGGAGTATGGAAAATCTATGCAGGTGATGAAACAAATAACTTACTATAATCCAATTATATTTGTGATATTTTTTGCTACTTTCTTGAGGTCATTAGTAATGATTTAACTTTTTTTCTACTGTATAGAACCAATATATTGGCTATCCAGCTGGCAAGACCTTGTGTGGGTGAGAAACTATGTCATGGCCCCATTGAGTGAAGAGTGGGTGTTCAGAGCTTGCATGATACCTCTACTACTACAGTGTGTCGACCCTATGACAGCTGTATTTGTTGGACCCCTACTCTTTGGCATAGGTGAGTCATCATTTAAAACCTTTGCCATTTGTTGTTGAAATTACTAGAAAATGCAAGTTTTAATACTATTTCCTCATGTTATCAATATTGGAGTCATTTTAATCTCAACTTATGGAGATTACCTTGACACTATCAGTAGTCATAACAACTGATTTTATAATAGAACAAATCAGTGTCGATAATGATAAAATAAGACAAATGTTTCATGATAACTGACAAAGGAGGTTTAAATTGAAATTGTGCCAAGTGAAAGAACAATATTATGAAACAACATTTGATTAAGCAGGTGTGAACTAATTCAATCACTTACATTACCATGCCACTTATAGATTAATAATTTTTATGTACATTTATTTCTTTAGCTAATACTGTACTTGTAATTATGTTACATTTAAAAGTTTTTAAGTCTATACAGGGTGATTTATTTCATCACTATTAAGGTTTAATCTTAGGGGTGTAGTTAGTATACTTAAATAATTTCCAATATTCTATTTTTTAATACAAATATAGTTGTACCAGTCATCTGTAGTCACCTGAGGGCTGGAGCTGGGCCACAGAGGTCTTAGTATGAGTTTCTTTCATGTTTAAAGTAGTTGAAACAAGTTCTCAGTCAGCTCTTTAATTGATTGGTTCATTGGAGCCGGCCAATCAAAGCACTGAATGTGTTATAAGGCCTCTTTATTATAAACTAGTGACCCGCCCCGGCTTCGCACGGGTGCAATATGCATGTATTATACATATAAACCTTCCTTAACAATCACTATAATATTTAAAAAAACCGCATCAATATCCGTTGCGTAATTTTAAAGATCTAAGCATACATAGGGACAGACAGATGGCGGATAGCGACTTTGTTTTATACTATGTAGTGATTCTTTATTCTTTACTTGCATCTGATATACACCTACCCATTATAGATATAATGTTCACTTTTTAATTTTAAATATTTTTCCTTTTCAGCCCATTTCCATCACATCTTTGAACAGATGAAAGCTGGCTCTGAATTGAAAACAGCTGTCATGATCTCAAGTAAGTTATTTGTATTATTTACTTATGAAGGTACAACCATATCAAACTATTACAATCTAAAATGTTTCTTCAATACATTTTAGACTTTATGACTCAACAATAAAGTTGAAAATCTGTTAACTGCCTGTGTGAATATTTTATCTCTAATAGTCAAATCTACCTAAATATATTTGGGAGGAGTCTCTTTGAGGGATCGATTCCGAAACGAAGTGATCCGACAGAGAACCAAAGTTATCAACATAGCCCAAAGGATCAGTAAGCTGAAGTGGCATTGGGCCGGTCATATTTGTCGAAGAACCGATAACCGTTGGGGTAAACGTGTTCTAGAGTGGAGACCGCGTGTAGGCAAACGTAGTGTAAGGCGCCCTCCATCTAGGTGGATTGACGACGTTAGAAAAATCTGCAAGGTGGCTGGCAGTGGTTGGATGAGAAGAGCTGAAGACCGAGCTCAGTGGCGTGCCATTGGAGAGGCTTATGTCCAGCAGTGGACGAATACGGGCTGATGATGATGATGATGATGTTTGGGAGAGTTGAGCTGTAAGCAATACAGATTAATAGTATTGGTGTGTATATAGTTCTAACTAACTCCTACCGTGCGGTTTCACCCACACTGCTCGGCTACTATAAATTGTAGCGTGATGTTTTATATGCGATAGCCTTCCTCGATAAGTGGACTATCCAACACAAAAACAATCATTCAATTGGAACCAGTAGTTCCGGAGATTAGCGCGAACAAACAAACACACAAACTCTTCATCTTTATATAACAAGTATAAGATAAGATTGAACTGTTACATTGCATATTTTATTTTTAATCACACCGTTTTAATCCGAGTGGGCTACAACATGGGGTTCTTAAAGAGGGGAGTGAATAAGCTTCTTAAGGGTCGGCAGGACGCATGTAATGCGCCAAGTGTTGCAGGCGTACATAGGCTACGATATCCCCTTACCATCAGGTGTTGCCATGTGTAATTTTGCCACAATAGTGGTACAAAAAAAATGTGGTGTCCTTAAACACATTAGCTAAATCAACTTCTAATTGTATTAATATCATAAATGAAGAAGTTTGTGAAGCTGTATGGATGTTACTCTTTACGCAAAAACTACCGAACAGAGGCCTTAATACGAGTTTATTTTACGTTTAAAGTATTCGTAACGAGTACGCGTTCGGCGCTGTGATTGGTTGGTTTATTGGCGCTGGCCAATCAGAGTGCCGAACTTGTAATCGTTAACGTTAACCGAACTCGTAAAACAAGCTCGTACTAAAGCCTCAGATTTGTTTGAGACTTGGCACAGGGATCGATTACAGTCTGGAATAATACAGAGGCTATTTATTATCCGAGGTCAACGGGCCATGCCACTGGCAGAAGCTTGCATTTACTGTGTTGTTCCCTTATGCCTTGTTCGCACTATGCTATTATTTTTAATTTTAGTCAAGTAGCGAGTATTTATTCACATTCATTTATTTGCATACCATAAAGTGAATAAGGTGTTAAAATGCGCTTAAAGCTAAGTTACATTTATGGACCCCGTAAGGGCACAGCAACAATTGATAAAATGACGTTAACCTGTTTAAAAATAAAGTTGACATTTTATCATCAAATATCTTGTAATCAAAATGTAACATAATTATAATCGAATTTAAATCTATATAAATAAAAATGAATTTCCGTTTAGTCTCGCTAAAACTCGAGAATGGATGAACCGATTTGGCTAATTTGGGTCTTGAAATGTTCGTGGAAGTTCAGGGAAGGTTTAAAAGGTCAGAAAACAATATTTAGGCGGTACGAAGTTCGCCGGGTCAGTAAGTAATGAATAAAATTCAAAATGTTACAATCAAAATAAAATAATTGAGGTCAAAATAAAATTAAAATCAAAATAAAATCCTCACTATTATTTATTAATATTAATATATTTAATATATAATATTATATATCGGAAAGTGAGTTTGTTTGTTCCGCTTTCACGCCGTAACTACTAAACCGATTGCTTTGAAATTTTACAGACGTAAAGTTAGAAGTCCGGATTAAATAATATGGTACTTTTTATCCCGGAAAATGTGATATTCCCGAGGGAAAACAAAAGTATTGGTATAGATGGCGCTATGTGTATTGGCATATGTAACATAGGCTACTTTTTATCCTTTTGTGACGCGAGCGAAGCCGCGGGTAAAAGCTAGTATGTAAATAACTCTCATAATAACTATCTAGTAACTCTCTCTCGCTTCGTTTTTGGTACAAATACGAGAGGGATTTACTAAACACTCGCTGCTCGCATAAAATACTAGCATAGTGCAAAGCACAAAGCATTAGGTAATTTAGCTGTAGAATAATTTTGGCAAGTATTCAATATGTCTAGCCAATTGTTACGACATAATGATCATCTGTTACTCATTAGAAGGGCCTCTCCAATATTAAACTAATTGGGAATAGTGTCACAACAGAGTAATCACATTTGCTTCTAGCAAATGTGATTTATATTAAATCGTTCTTTGAAGAAAGAAAAGTGTAATAAATTTTAACTTTCACAAAGAAACTTGATTGTTGAACGATTGTTATGTTTACGAAAAATATTTTCATATACACTTGAGAGCCAAGTCCCTAACGTTTTTTATTTTTCATTTCTTGATAAATATTTTGTGATATTCATTGGTAACGTATGTCGTATAAAGGAGGCATGTAAAACCGACTTTCATACCACACATACACGTTAGGTTCTGTACGTAGGTACGTATATGCACCGATAACTCTACAGTTTAGTCACATACACGCTAGGGCTTACCTGTTGGTTATGCATGCACGGCTAAAACCTAGCGTGTATGGCCTCCTTAAAAGGCAATTTAGTTGCCATAGAAACGAGAGCAAATTTCTGTACGAGGAACATATATTTTTTTTAAGTTATACAAGGTTTAGTTTTGAAGCCGTGTCATTTCTCGGGGGCATGTCACCGAACTCATAAAGGTTCAATGTAAGAGAAAGTTTCGGGCCAATAGTTAAAAATACGGCTATAATAAATCGTTTAAGTTCGACAGTGTTTCAGAATAAGCGACAGCAATGGTTCTTATTGGAGTTTCATGAAATTAGGAATAATATCAATTACGTGTTTGAGTTTGTGTGTGTTAAGCCGCGTTATAAAACTAGTTACAAGACGGGCGGCGCGTAGTTCGCACTTACGGATTTCCGTAATTTACAGAAAAATGAAAAATATTAATCTACAATTTTTTTATTGATTCGGACTATGAATCGATAGCCGAGTTACCTCCTAGAAAATGACGCTGCTTTAAAACAACATCTTGTAGAGGGTATACAAAATAAAAAAAATGCTAGTAGTAGCTCTGTTTCTTTGCTCCGAAGTTTAATTTGGAAACATTGCCATTCTCTTTGCTATATCTATTTATGTTATAGTCGTGTCACAAGCAGGAACAGTAAGATAATATTGCAATAAATACCAGTTTGTTTTCCTCCATGTGAACAGGAAAAACGTAGTCACTATTTATAATATTTAAATAATATATGATATATTTTCATATTGCCCATGTTTACAATTAATCAATTAACCCATCGTGTGTCTAAACGTGGATCCACGCGGGACACAATATATTTTCTATGTCTCTTGTATTCGGGCAATCAAGCGGTTAAACAATACAAGTGTGTACATTTTCCATCATATTAATTTTAATTTAATGACTGACGTGTAGAAAATTGGCAAATAAATTGCAAACTATAAAGAATGACTAGAAAGAAAGACATATAATTAAAGACACTTTCGGTTTTATAATATTAGTGGGTAAGAATACAGCTGGATGTAGAGAGCTTCTTTGAGCTTGTTTTACGTTTAAAGTAATCTAAACGAGACCGCGTTCGGCCTTTTCATTGGCCGGCTTCAATGAACCAACCAATCAGAGCGTCAAACGCGGGCAAAGTCAAAGCATTTAGTTCAGTTAAATCTTAATAGGCACTTTTGAAACATCAAAAAATGTAAAAGGGTGGTTTCCTAAATTTTATTTTAATGTCCTTCTGGTAGATTATTTTAAAACATTAGACACGTATTTTTTTTCTAATTGATTTGAAATGTCAATAGTCTTGTCTTGTCGTTGATAAGCCGTTGATGAAGGATTGATAGAGATTTCTAATTATTGTTTTTCTTTTCAGCATTCCAGTTTATGTATACCAGTTTGTTTGGTGCTTATTCGGCGTATTTGTTTGTGAGAACAGGTGCGTACAATTTAACCAATCCATATTAATACTTTGTATTTTAACAGTTCCCGTTTCTTCAGTTTTGTTATATATATTAGTTGCGTTATAGTTATAAGTTGCGTGTTTACTGAGAAACGAATTCGAGACCTTTTGCTTATCAGTCCCATAACCCATTTCCTACTATTCATGATGCAACTTAGTACCAATTAATAATATTTGCTCTATAAATATAAAAAAGTTCTTTTATATTTCTTACCTATATTTATTTTTACAGGACACTTCATGGCTCCTCTAGTCGCCCATATGTTTTGCAATCACATGGGATTTCCGAACTTCACCGAAATAGTCGAGTTCCCACCTCTACAACGGGTATTTATTATATGCAATTTCTTTATAGGATTCGGCCTATGGTGTTTCCTTCTTACACCTTTAACTAGTCCAGATATTTATGACAATAGATTACATTGGGAAACATGATTTTATTTATATCAGTGGCCTTTGTACCAATTCACCTAATATAAAAAATAAAGATAGAATAAATCCGATAGGAATGATGACAGGATATTAAAATCATTCAAATAATGAAAAAATATTAGACTCGTATTTATTGTTTTGTTGGCTTAGGAAAAAATATTACTATGTCATCGCTTAGTATAAAATATAACATTGTTTATGTCATAAAAAAAGTTGTCCCACTCTAGGATTTTGTCCTATGTCGTGGGTGCGTTTACAAACATACAAGTACACATGACACCAAGACCCGAAACAACAATTTGTGGATTACACAAAAAGTTGCTTCGTGTGGGAACCTGCGACACGTTTGCACAGGAGCCAGTTGACCAGCCAACGCGCCAACCGTGCAGTCTATAATACATATTTGTCCAAAGTAATTTTTCAGTAAGAATCTATATTCGTGTCTAATATTTTTATCTAATATATAATTTGTCATCATCCCTATACATCACAATAATAGCCAGTATTTTTGTACCAGTGTAGTCACGCTTAAGAAACCAATTACAATCATAAATAAGGTTCTATATTGTATATTTTGAAAGTCGATTGCCTTATAATTTCATAAATCACATTTAATGTTTAATTTTATTATCGACTTAGCTACTTCCGCGCGATTGTTTCTGCTCTGCCCGTTGATTAGTGGTCGTAGCGTGATGTTTTATAGTCTAAAATCTTCCTAGATAAATGGACTATACAACATAAAAAGAATTTTTCAAATCAGTCCAGCAGTTCCAGAGATTAGCGCGTTCACACAAACAAAGTCTTCAGCTTTATATGATATTGATGAATTAAAATATACAAAAACTACGTAAAGTAAATGTTATGGTTTCCTTGTGGTAAAAGTGGAAGAAGTTAAAATTCTAGTAACCTATCAGGTTTTTAGTCATGATAGAACTAGTTGATATACTTAAATGTTCATCGAATTATTGACTCGAGTTTTGGTTTTTTATTTATTTTAAAGGTTCTGTTAACAATTTACTAATTTTAATATATAATATTTATTGATAAGAAACATTAATGTTGAGTTACTTTTTTATTTATGGCAACATTCATGTTCCATTTTACATAAGCTGCTTAAACTGTCAAAGACCAAGCGGTCACCGGTGACCGCAACCTATTGTTCTATAATTGTGTCTGCAAAACCGGTACTCGACGAGTTAAAATCGGAAAATCGTTATTCTTTGTACAACAGCTTTTTTAAATTTCGACAATTCGTTATCGAATTATAAAACATTAGAGGCAATAAAACCAATATGACACTTCTTTATAAACTGTAGCGAAGGTGTTGCCATAATAAAATATTGTTTAAAACTAAAATTAAAAAATAAGCAGTATTTCTTAACGAAATAATTTACCTCTGAATGCTAATCACAATGTAATTATAAGTATGTCTAATGGTTCTACCACTTATATATGTTAATAAAACAACACAATAATTATAGTAAAACTAAATTCCTACTAATTGTAATAAAACAAATAAATAAATGCTGTATGTTTGTTGGTCAGTCACACTAAACGGCTGATAGGATTTTGATGAAATTTTGCACACCTACATAGTTATATGGACTTGATTGACACATACAAGGTGTAGTTTTGAAAGCGTGTCATTTCTCGGGGGCATATTACAGAAGTCATAAAGGTTCAATGTAAGAGAAAGTTTCGGGCCAATAGTTAAAAATACGGCTATAATAAATCGTTTAAGTTCGACGGTATTTCGGAATAAGCGACAGCCATGTTTCTTATTGGAGTTTTATTGGAATTAGGAATAATATTAATTACGTGTTTGAGTTTGTGTGTGTTGAGCCGAGAAATAAAGTAGTTACAAGACGGCGGCGTGTAGTTCGCACTTACGGATTTCCGTAATTTACAGACAAATTAAAAATATTTACCTACAATTTTTTTTATTGATTCAGACTCAGAATCGATAGCCTCAGAATGACGCGGCTTTAAAACAACACCTTGTTTAATAATTACCTGTAAATGTAGGCTAAGCCTGCTCGCACACGGAACATAGTAATACGCGCGTAGAGCGAACGTAACTTTGGGATACTACAAATCTAGCCAAGTTATCAGCTAAATACAGGATGATTCAGTTCAGCAGACACAGTGAATATTAGTTACTGAGCGTGCCTATCCTTAATGGCAGTATAATAATAGCCACTGTCACTGTACTTAATCAGTTTCTTATATTTGTAATTTCGTTGGTATGCAATGCTTCTGTTCATCAATAAGAAAGTCTTTTGCTCATTAATAAAGTCGAAAGTGCGTCCTGCTTATACGGTTATGATACGCTGTCGTGTGTGAACAAGCTCAGTCGCCGAGAGAACGCTAGTTTTAGAAATAAGTAACTTTAAAAGTGTGTGTGTCTATTGCTTGGTCTACAATCTACGTTTGTTTCAGATAATATATTATTTCTTTGATGTAACAAATGCTATTTGATTTTGTATAATAAGAATCTTGAGACGTACTAAATTAATCACAAAATACACCTTCAAGTAGTACCAATTGTATCACCTAGGTGTCACTACGTGTATGCACGCTACAAAATAATAAGTGAACCATTCGCAAAAAAGTACGCTGCTCATAAATATGGGTTCCGTGTGACTTGAAATTACCCCTAGTAGAGCTTTGATCGAATAGTTTACACCTACAAGTAAATTACCTACTTAAATTGAAAAATAAACCCGGCTTGCTGTGCTGGACGATTGTTAAATGAAAAGTGGCTAAAAGTTAAAAATTTACTATAAAGTTTAAATTAATATGCTGCTAGTCAAACTATTTGAAGCAAATGTAGGAATGATAAAAACGTACTTTGATAATTAGGATTACTTAAATGACTCTTAATTATTGACGTATATTTAGTTGTAATCGTTTTAAGGTGCATTCGTTTTTATCACAGAAATCGATGTTTGAAAGGTGCATTATTTTATAGAAGTGTGCTCAAGTATTTATTTAATAGTATATTGTTTGTATGATTTGCACTTGTACTGTACATGGCGAGGAGATTATATGGTAGTTTACGACTAACCACAATAAATACAATAAGTAGAAAAATACAATATATTGCAATGCATATTTTTTTATAAAATGCAAAAGATGATGTCGCAGTTTCTAAATCAAACAAAAATAAAGTAAAACACAAAATCTAAGTTTTTTAAGTTAATAAGTAGTTTATTTACATATCTCTTTACCTCAATGTACTATTGAGGTTAAAAGTGAACTTTGTTGTAAACTTAAATATAATCTCGTTTCGTTTCATATAATGAAGTCCAGTTCACATGGAAGGGTCAATTCATAATAACGAATGGAGAGACGAAGTTATTTCTTTTGAGAAAACAAGATGCTGAATTTTATATCTGAAGAAAAATGTGTATTATTGTGTGGAGATAATTTGCTCTGACATTTCAGATTCACTTTCGAGTCTGTGATAATGTGAATTCTTCCTTGCGTGTGTTTATTTCACATCTATCTTCAATTTTAATACTTGAGTGTGCACTAATTTAGGTCTATAAACATTTTTGAATCAACCATTTCGTGAAACTTAATTTGTATCCTATTGTGTGTGCCATAAGTTCGATATTACTGTAAATACATAAAAATAATAATTTAGACAGGGTTTGCACGCATGGGTACATAGCAACGTGTGCCTCACTAGTCAATTGATGTAATGTTTTTAATATTTAATAATAATAATAATAATGATTTGTGACGCATGTTTGTTAAACAACGATATTACTTGTCATACAATAAATTTACGTTATGATCAACCATTCATTGTTTTATTTATTTACTCTTTAATTCTTTTACTATTTTTGGCATAAGCCGGTAAACGAGCAGACGGATCACCTGATGGTAAGCAATCGGCGTCGCCATGGACACCTGGAACACCAGAGGCTTTACAAGTGCGTAACCAGCCTTTTGGGGATTAGGAGTTTGAGGATCGTTGAGGATTCAGGAACTGGAGCGATTGGGGAAGGGAAGGGTAATTGGGCCTCCGGTAACCTCACTCACACGATGCAAGCGTTGCTTCACGTCGGTTTTCTGTGAGGCCGTGGTATCACTCCGGTCGAACCGGCCCATTCGTGCCGAATCAAGCACCTATAGAAAATAGAAACCTATTTGTCAGCGAGCGTTATTGCACTCGAGTCATTGTGAAGGAACATCATTGGAATCTATTAAGACGAAAGGAATGGGTAGATCAAGATCAAAAGCCAATCGTTGTCTCTGCTAAGCCAATCTGCGCTTACCACCATGCGATATAATGGTGAAACGCTGATCTATTAACCTTGTGGAAGGAGTAAGGGTGATGACGAATTTGTTCTAAATCTGTCTTCAACATACATACTCATGTTTCATTGAATTCGAATGGATTCATTAATTCACACGAATTGATGATGATGATGAGAAAATCCTAGTGTGGGGCAACGTTTGTAAAAAAAACTCACTTACGCCCGCATGCTGAAAGCTTCTCAGTTTTAAACTGTAGGTACTTAAGTATCGTCTCTGTCTTTTTTACAAATGATTTGTACTGACAGAACTATACCTAAGCGTGAATTAAAATTGAATGGTGTTTGTGTATTTGGACATTATTACAAATATGTTTTTCTGTTGTCTTATGCGAGTTAGTTACTTCTTTTAGATATCAGAGATTCTTGTCAGCCTGCAAATTTGATAAATGTAGAGGGTAATAATTTAGTTAGTATAAGGTATAAAATGAAACTCCAAAATATACGTAAATATTTTAATTTACTCCGTATATACATAATTTTGTATCATCTAGGAACAATCTAATTTCATTCTAATTTACACCATAAATAGCATACACTCATTAAGACACAGATTATAGAATTTAACTATAGACAAAAATCTACTTCACTTCGAACCAAGTATGATGCGTTCAGAAAATATATTTTAATACTTTTTTATTTATAATTATTTAGGCTTATACACCACTTATAGTTATTACACGAAGCTACACAGCGAACACAGTCGTTTTCATAGCATGTGTGAAATTTTAAAAAGTTTTAAATATCTAGAGATTGAATGTGGTCAATCAGAAAAATA